CTCCCAGAGCTGGGATTACAGGCCATCACCTGTAATTACACACCATCGTGCCTGGCTTTTTACCAGTGTGCTGAGGATTAGAACTCAGGTCCTCGTGTTTGGCAGCAAGCACTTTACTCTCTGAGCCATCTCCTGGCCCCTAGGCATTGATTGGCTGTTCTCATCTTTCCAGTTCTTGCTGCTCTGTAGGTAGGACAGTGGTAGACCAGTGGCTTCCCTTTCTAGTCTGTCCTTTGCTCTTCCGATGGACATTTCTCCAAGATGAACTTCAGACATGTCAAGTTCTCTTTGTGGGGTGTTTGATGCCACATTAAATCTGCAAATTAACCAAGGAGGCGGCCTGATGTCTTTACAGGACCTCCACACTCCTGTGAAGAAATGCAGAACCTTCTCCATTTATTCTGTCTCCTTTTATTTCACCAATAAAATTTTGTGGTTGTCTTTATATGGGTCACACACATTTCTCATTAAGTTTATTCTAAGTATTTTCCCGTTGCGTTGGCCAGCCGCCTCCCTTTCTTCCACACAGCTTCGGGAAGGACCGCACATACGGATCGCAGGACCCCGTTGTTGGTTCTCTGAACTGCTGCTCGGTATCTTTGGCACCAAATCACACGGACTGTGAATACTCATTGTCACATTGGCATCTGATGAGCCCCACGGCAGGCTTGTGTCGGGTCTCAGGGATCTGAGTCGGTCCTTTGGCTAAAACTGCCTCACCTTGGTTGAATTAGAACTTGCTCCATCCACCTCCCACTGAGCCTGATTCACAGGGCAGATGCCGCCTTTCAACTCTTCATAGACCTGAGGTGCCTTCACTTTCTGCTAGTCACTCAGCAATCATCAAATACCCAGGATATGTCTGGCTTCTTGGCCAAGCTATTTCCTTAATGTCTTTAGTCTTTAAACATTGGGTGTGTGGATGTAATTGACTGGGGATGTTAAGAGAGTCCTGAGATTGTATAATCAGTATCTGGGACATCTGGGATTTGCATCCATGTTTGTCTTCTGTTTCCTGATGTTTCGTTGTCTCCCGTTCATTACAAGAAACCCCATAAACTCATGCCTCATGAGCCTCTAGACTTTACTCCATCCCCCTGGGCATTCTATTCTCCCCAGGACCACTGCTGGCTCTGCCCTCTCAATTTGGTTCCCTTGTTCCAGAGTGAGGCTTTCTGTGCCTTCCACCCATGCCCCCCATTTCTGGGAGTGACCACATAGCGACCTTCCTGGAAGAGAATGTTCTTATGAGTCTAGGCTCCCCCGACTAAGTCTCTACCTGGAATTTTCTCTGCAGAGAGCAATTGCAGCAAATGTTCCTGAGTAGGGTGCTCAGGCAGTGGTCTTAGGAGTGGGAGCCTTGAAGAGGTGGGGCCTGAGCCGGGTGATGGTGGCACATGCCTTTAATTCCAGCACTCGGGGGGCAGAGGGAAGCAAATCTGTCAGTCCAAGCTAGCGTGGTCTACAAAGCAAGTTCAAGGACAGGTGGGGCTATTACACAGAGAAACCCTGTCTTGAAAAACAAGAAAAGGCAAACCACCCACCCAAACAAACAAAAAACAAAACAAAACAACAAACAAAAGAGATGGAGCCTGTTTGGACACATGTAGGTTGTAGATGTAACCGTCTTATTAAATAAGAAACACAGAGCCAATGCAAAGATGAAAGCCCAAGAGGTCAGAGCTAAGAGCCTTACCCTTCACTGCTGCAGCTAGCCTCTTCAGCCAAGAGACCTACTTCCTGTGTGTTTGTCTTTATATAGACTTTCTGTTCTGCCTTCTCATTGGTTGTAAACCCAACCACATGACCTCCTTGTCACTGCCCGTCTGTACAGACCTCCAGGTCTTCTATGGTTGGTAATTGAGATTAAAAGTGTGTGTCTCCATGCTGGCTGTATCCTTGAACACACAGAGATCCTCATAGCTCTGCCTCCCAAGAGCTGGGATTAAAGGCGTGCACCACCAACGCCTGGCTCTACTATGGTTTGCTCTTAGCTCTGACCCCCAGGCAACTTTATTTATTAACATACAAATAAAATCACATTTCAGTACAAATAAAATATCACCATATTTCCCCTCTTCTATTTTAATAAAAAGGAAAAAGGTTATAACTAACATAAGAAAAACTATATACAAAAGTACAATAACTATATACAATATATACAAGTAATAAATACCTAAACAATGTCTAGTCCATTTGCATTTGACAAATTCAGAGAAAATAATTCCATTATCTATCCTATTTTGGTAAGTCCAAAATGTATCTAATTCACTTTCTATCCTAATTTCTAACCTATCAACTATAACAAACTAATCTTCAGCTATAAGTAACTAATCTTCAACTACCTCAGAGACCCAAGAAGGAAATAATATTACCTAACAAAAATAAAAACAGGAAGTGCATGCAAGCAGCTTCCAAAAAAAAAATGTGAGTTGACAGAAAGAGCCAGCTGCCTGGACAGTCACCCGAGGTTTCTCCACAGTGTTGGGGCATCATCTTCAGCCTATAGGCTTAGCATATCTGACAGACTCATTTGTGAAGTAGGATGTACACAAGGTCAATAGTTCGACCTCACATTGGGTGAGAGCAGTCTATGTACCAGAAACACCTGAATTCCACTAGTGTCATGTCATGATTCAGGATTTTAAATTCTGGAAATTGTTCATGGTTTTTGAATTCAGCTGTCCATTCTTCTTGGCTGTGTATATGTGGCTTCATCTCAGCATCCCATTCTTCTCCACATCCCTCTATTAAATGCTAGTCTACTATTGAGAGGCATGAGCTTAGTTACTCTTCAAGAATAACTGTTTCAGCTGCTGTTCCATTGCTATCCTGATTCTCCTGGGATCCCAGTTGAGACTTTAGGGCCAAGGAACACAAGGTTATGGTTTAAAAGTGACATGTTTGTATGTCAAGTTGATGAGGCATGCTAGTCAGCTTTGTCAACTTGACACAATTAGAGTCGTCTAGGAAGAAAGTCTACATTGGGTTGGCCTGTGGGTTTGTCTATGGGGGCAGTCTTAATTGAGTAGTTGACATGGGAAGACCCAGCCTACAGTGGGTGGCACCAATACCAGGCAGGGAATCCTGAACTATGTGAGAGTTGAATGAAGTGAAGGCAGGCCCAAGAAAGAATCCCAAGAGCTTTATCAGGAAGGGAAGGGCTGTGGCCTCTGCTGACGGGCCAGGGAGAAAGGGGTGACGACTCCCGGTCCAGCAGCTGTGAGCGATTTCACACCATCAGGGATCCAGTGGGTTTCGTTGTCTGACTGATTTCAAAGATTCAACATAGAATGAGTAAAGGCTGGACCAGGGGTGTTCTAGAAGAATGGGAGCCACCACTGTCCCCCATCTGTCCATCCTCTATATACCCCACTAGCAGGGTTGGTCTGGCGATCACTATCTTCAGTTCGTCTTCTCCCATAGAGACTGCCCCTGGGGACTCACTCTATAGACGGGCTTGTCTTCTCCCATTGAGACTGCCCCTGGGGACTCACTCTATAGACGGGCTTGTCTTCTCCCATTGAGACTGCCCCTGGGGACTCACTGTATAGACAGGATTGTCTTCTCCCATAGAGACTGCCCCTGGGGACTCACTCTATAGACGGGCTTGTCTTCTCCCATAGAGACTGCCCCTGGGGACTCACTCTATAGACAGAGTTGTCTTCTCCCATAGAGACTGCCCCTGGGGGCTCACTCTGTAGATGGGGACAGTGAGGAACCAGAGCTAGAAGAGCAGAGTTCCTCAGGTGGGGTGACAAGGTGAGCAGAGAAACACAGGGCAAGCATGGCCTTTTGCTACCCTACATGGTTAGGCCAGTCCCCAGTGTCTTAGCACCTAACTCCTTCCCATCCGTCCATCCATCCATCCGTCCATCCATCCATCCATCTATCCCACAAATATTTGCTGAGTGCTGACCACCTGCCCAAGAGCACCCCAGCACAGAAGAGAATCATGAGTCCAAGCTCACGAGTTTTGGGGTTCCATGGTAGGAAAAAAAGGAGCCAAAAGCTAAAAGAACAAAACAAGAGTGTTGTAGGGACCTTAGCTCGGTTGTTAATGTGCTTACCACACAGTCATGAGGACCCGAGTTCAAGCCCCAGAACCCAGATAAAAGATGAGCACGGCGGCACACACCTGTAATCCCAGCACTGAGGAGAGAGAGGCGAGTGGATCCTGAGGCTCACTAGCCAGACAGCCTAATGAAGTCAGTGGATCCCAGATCCCAGTGAGAACATCCATCTCAAAAAGCAAGGTAGGACTGGAGTAGACAGCTCAGTGGTAAAGAGCTCTTGATCTTGCAGAGGACCCGGGTTCAGTTCTCAGCACTCACACCCTGCGTGCTCCTACCTGCTTCTCCAGTTCCAGGGGACCCGACACCCTCTTCTGGCCTGTGAGGGCAATGCATGCATATGGTGCACAAACAAAGCTCTAGGCAAAACACCCATGTATATAATGTAAAAATAAATAAACCTTAAAGCCAAAAAACAGAAAGCAAGGTTATCTCTACACGCACACAAGTGCACACACACACACACACACACACACACACACACTACACATAAACACACATATACAGGGTGAGCTGCCTATACAGCTGTTCACTTTTCCTTCACAAGGTACATGGCTCCAAAAACCACTGTGATCCAACCCAGGCCCACTCTTCCAAAGTGTTCAGAGACAATTGCATTAACTTATTAACTTCATCACCTGTCGTGAATATGAACAACTGTGCTTTGCCTGGATATTCTTAGCCAAGAAGGAAATTTTAAAAAAAGAAAAAAATAATAAAAGGGAAGAAGAAGAATGAAATTCAGGTCAGACCCAAAAAAGGAAAGACCTTGGGTTGCCCTGTTCTTAAAAGCTCTTAAAAGGAATTGAATTAGAACTGAGACACACATACAAAAAAAAAAAAAAAAAAATTGGCCCGTGAATCCAACTCCCACCGACACCAAGTTAGAAAAAAAAATAGCTGAAAGAAAAGTATGTAACCCGTCAATCAAGACATGATGGTTTTATTCTTTTAAAATGAGAAGCCTTTTGTTTTAAGAGGAGCGGGCTGGTAATTTAGCGCACAGGCGCGGCGTCAGGGTGAAGATCTTTCATATCTGCAGACAGGAGGGACCAGGCTGCCGGTGGAGAAGTTGAGGCTGCATAATGAGCTTGGGGTCCGGGGGTTCCCTTTCCGGAGAGGAGCCTGGGATCTCTGCGGCTCTGATTGATGGAACTCCGGGTCGGTGAGAGCCAGGGAGGTATAATCTCACCTTTGTTGGTAATCAAAGGCGGCTGGCTGAGACTCCATCTTTTCCTTCTGATTCCTATGTACGAATCTGAGGCGCTCAGATGAAATGTGTTGCGTTACACCAGTGCCAATAAGTCACACTATCTGTGTTGTGACACACTGAATATTACTAATTGTCAATCAGGAAGCACAAGTCCTGTCAAGGCGCTCCCTTCTCGACGGGCTGGTTCAAACCTGAAGTGATTTTTAATCAAGTGTTAATAACGCGGCACCTGTCAGTGGACGGTGGGGATCAGGCAATCAGAAAAAGGGAACAGATGACATGGCAAATTTTAATGTTTTCATTTTCCACTTTTCCCAATTATCGGTGGGATTTCTGTCAGCCTGAATAGTGCACTGACATTGCCGGGGGACACCACCACACAGAACACAGGAGACAGCTGACAGGGCTCTGGAGGTGCCAGGCTATGCACCCAGCCCTGCCAGGGCGACCTGCACCTCCTTCAGGAGGCCCAGGGACTCCGCACTGCCCAGGGCAGGGGGCTTTGGGTCTGGGGCAGTGGATGCATCTGGGTACTAGGAGACCCAGTGCTTGGTTCCATTGAGGCAGAAGACATCAGAGGTGAGGGTGATGGAGCAGAGAGCTGGGTCCAAGTCAGGGGTGAGCTGGTCCACCAGAGAGCCACACACATTATGGACACCTTGGATCATGGGGCTGCAACTGGATTTCCCTTTTGGCCACGTTGCCAGAGAACCTAGGAGGGGGAGGGGAGGAAGGAATGCAGGAAGGCAGCAGGAAGGATGGAGTGAAGGACAAAGGAGAAGGCAGGAAGAAGGGTGGGGTTGGCACTGACCAGTGTGACATGGCTTTGTCCCCTCCTGAGCCAGCCCTGGTAGGACCAGCTAGACACTCAGGAACAAATGACGGAGGGTTTGCTTTTTTTCCTCTGTGGGTACCATGGGCCGTGTCTTTCTTCTTGCTCTCTAGAGCAGCGGTTCTCAATCTTCCTGATGCTGTGACCCTTTAATACAGTTCCTCAGGATGTGGTCACCACTGACCATAAAGTTAGTTTTGTTGCTACTTCATAACTGTAATTTTCCTACTGTTATGAATCATGATGTAAACATCTGTGTTTCCTGATGGTCTTAGGCGACCTGTGACCCACAGGTTGAGAACCACTGCTCTAGAGCTCAGATCCAGATGGGCAGCTGGTGAGTGTCTAATTCATTTCATACCCGCTGCCCACAGCCTGGCACTGGCCACCCAGTTTCATCCACACCCCTAGCAATGGGACATGTTACCACACTACAGCTCTGGTTGATAGGCTGGATTTGTTACCTTTCTTGCCATTTTGACCAGGTATTTGACAAGATGCCACTCAAGGGCAGGAGGGTTGGCTCAGCTGTAGGACAGTCCATCGTGGAGGGGGAGGTAGGGCAGCAGGCTCCTGAGCCCCCCGCCCCCCGTTGGCATCTCCATGGACCAGGAAGCCGGGAGAGGACAGGAGACAGGGCTGGAATAGTAACCTTAGGGCTCACCCCTCCAGAGATCCACTTCTTCCAGCCAACCTCCCCCCACCAAAGGTTCTAAACTTCCACAAACAGTCACCAACTGGGGACAAGTATTCAAACATATAAACCTGTAGGGGACTTTTATGTCCAAATCAACCTAGGGCCTCCCTGTAACGTTTCCCCGGCTCTCAGCAGAACAGGTGCAGCAGTTACTGGGTGTCCCATGAACATGGGTTATATCTGAGGTGACTCTGCGTAGACACATCCACCAAGCAGGCTCATCTCACCCCATGAAGCTTCTCTGTATTACTAGATGACGCCCACCACTGGCTCCCCCTGATCCCTCCTCCTTGCTCTCCTCTGTGGGGCCAACGTCTGAGGTCCACTGGAGTCCATCTCCTCTGTGTAAGCATCCTCAGGCACAGCCACGCCTTCCCAACACCACGTATGTGACTGTGGCAATCTTATCCACACCTACATTTGCTCAGCACGTGAGAGTACCTCACCCTGGTGGCTCCTCTGAGCTCCGTTAATTCTCTAAATGCTCATCATCTGGCTGTTACTTGGATGTCCGGCAGGCACCAGAAGTCAATTCAGTCCTCAAAGAATAGTTTGTATGCTGTGCCTACAATGTGGCTCTTGTGGGGGGGGGTTCCCATTTTGGTGAAGAGCGTCATCATTGTCCCTTTGAGATGGTCACAGCAACATAAGAGGCCTGGGAGAAAGCAAACAAGGTCTTGGTACAAGGTCATGGCACCTAGCACCGTGGGCACCAGCCAATCACCAGATCCCTCTGCAGCCATCTGAGTACCAGCTTTTCCATGCTAAGAAGAGTAAATTTACCCATTTCCGACTTTACGGCACATGGGGAGACTTGGTCATCACTATCCTGACCTCACCCAGGGTAGGACTCAAGACCTGGCCCAAGAAATGAATAAGCTTTGAGCAGCAGTCAGAAGCATTTCCGAATCACCATGGCTGCTCAGTCCTCTTTCCCCAAAGCCTGAATGCCATGGGGAATCTGAGGCTGACCTAACCCTCTAGTCTCTTATTAAAACAAAACCAGGATTATGCTGCTGATAACTCAGTAGAAAGGACATTTGTCGTGCTAACTTGATGGCCTTGTGTGGATCCCTGGAATCCATGTAAAAATGGAAGGAAAAGACCAACTCCCAAAGGTTGTCATCTGACCTCCAAACATGTGCGTTATGGCATATGTGTGTACCTATCCCCTGATACAGGTTACACACAAACAGACACACACACACACACACACACACACACACACACACACACACACACACACACTTAAAAAAAAGACCAGTGTATCAGGTATCCAGTGCTGTGTAACAAAAGTCCCCGAACACACTATCTACAATAACACCTGAAGTTTCTGAGGAATCTGGGGGTGGCTTGGCTGAGTGATGCAGGTTCTTGTCCTTCAGGTGGCCTCCAATTATAGGTGGGGCTGCTGGAGACTTGGCAGGGGAGCATCCAGCCCGGCTGGTGTGGTCAGCTCCAGTTCCTCACTGGGGACCTCACACAGATTGCTTGACTTACGTCACAGCACCCGGCATCCCAGGACAGGGGACAAGAGAGGGAGCAATCAGGACAGAAGCCATGCAGCTGTAGAGTTTTTCTGGAAAATGCCATACCATCATTTCTAGATATTCTATAAGGCATATAGAATGGTGTAACACTAAGAGGAGCGAATCCCGGGAGGCAGTTACTGGAGGTCACTTTAGAGGCTGGCTACCATCTCTCCGTGGTGTCTGACCATTTATATAATGTACATAAGCACAAGCTAGAAAGGAAGGCATCTATACCACGTAAGGGCAGGGAGGGAGAAAACTGTGACATGCTGGACAGGCTTGCCACCACCCCACTGCATGGTCCAGAGCCAGACTCTGCCATGCCTCAGTGACTCCATGTGGACGATGGAGTGAATAAGGTGCAGCCTGAGGCTCTGTGTTCCCATGAGTCTCAGGGCCCCAGGACTGCAGCTCCCACATCTTATCCCTACATGTCACCTGCTAAGCAGCGTCAGAGAGGGAGGAAGGACGCCCCATGGCTGAGGAGGAATGCCTGAAGTTCTTCCTGCCCCTGCCCAGACTCCTCCCAGTTAGCTCACCAAGTCCTCCCCTGGGGAACCTTCATTCTTGAACTCTGAACTTTAGCCTGCAGAGGGCATGGTCCCAAGGAAGGGTCTGGAAAATGTGGGAGTAGCCCCGGTCATCCTGCACACACACACTACACAAGTCCACAGTGACATGTGCACCGAGTCACTCACAGTCTCACAGGCCCCATGGGGACACTATGCTGCGGCAGACCTGGGGTGACTGGGTCCCTTTACAGTCAAGTTCAGGGATCCACCCAAAGGGGTGTGCTTTACAAAGCTGGGAAGTGGAAGACATCCTTCACAAGAGTCAATGTGTTCACTGTCATGGGAACAGCCAGCGTGGAGGGCTCCTTACCTACAGCTGGCAGCCCAGGTTGATCTTTCTGGGTGTCCCCCATGCACCTCCCTCCATCTTTTTAGCACACGAGGCCTCTGCACCCCATGCAGGTCTAAAGTATGGGCCGGAGGTGACAATACTTCACCAACTCAGTCACAACCCTGCCACCCTCTGAGCCCTCATGGTTTCACCAGGGGCTCCTGCCGCAGAAGGGACCCGTGCTGTGCTCTCAGGGGCCTTCCTCTGTCACAGCCACCCTAGCTGAAGACAAAGTGGCCACCTCTGAAGAAACTTCATGGGCATGCAGTTGAACACATCTCCTGCTGCCCAGCTGATAGAGTGTCAATGAGCTGGGAAAAGTTCACAGACAGGGTCCTCCCAGACACAGGCGGGGACCTGTTATACACAGATGCCTAACAGGGACCAGGTTACCCAGTTGTGTTCTCTCAGGGCTTTTTCTCTAGATCCATGAACGCTACACTCGGGGTGTCCCTTCTAGCACACTATGACCCTGTAGGTCTCTCCATGGCCCTTGGCCCCACAACAGAGCCGAGTCAGGCTGTCATCTCTGAAGAGACTTGGGGACAAGATGGCCGAGAAGTAAACACAGGTGGCAGGGAGCCTGGACTAAAACAGATCACTGAATAGCAGCTCTCTATTCCTAAACTAAACTCAAAGGCTGTTCAAGGGCTTTCCTCCTGTACCAGCGTATCTCCAAGATGAGCCCCCAACACACACTGAGGCTCCGCCCTCTGACCCAGTGGTTCCCTAGTGCCTGGGAAGCCATCCCCCTAAGAGATGTCCTGTCTCCCCAGCCAGGTACCACCTCTGCCCTGCCTAGCACAGGCTATGATCTCAATCAAGCCTCTTTCATGCAAGGAAGCCATGTTGGTTGTCTTTTGGGTTAAGAGAAAGGTGTGCTACAGAGATGGAGATAGGAATTTTGTTTTCACTTTTTAAAGATTTGATTTTATTTAGGGGTGTGTGTGTGTGTGTGTGTGTGTGTGTGTGTGTGTGTGTGTGTGATGTGTATGGGTGCCTGTAGAGGTCAGAAGAGAGCACTGGTTCCCCAGGAGCTGGAGTTACAGATGGTTGTGAGTTGCCTGATCTGGGTTGGTTCTGGGGACCAAACTTGGGTCCTCTGCAAGAACAGCAAGAGCTCTTAACCACTGAGCCTTCCCTCCAGCCCCCAAATAGAGTTTTAAGGGTTTAAGTTTTAATATTAAATAAAGGTGATGCAAACTCAAAAAGACAAAACCACATGTTCTCCCTCACATGTGGACCCTCATGTACAGTGAATATACACATCTATGTGCAAACAGGTATAAGTGTGGATCCTAGTGTATAGTGAATATACATGTATATATGCAAACAGGTGTTAAATGTGGATGCGGTGTATAGTGAATATACATGTATATATGCAAACAGGTGTAAGTGTGGGTGGAGTGTAACATCTAGAAAGGAGACCAAGAGAGCATAATACTGGGCAGTGAGGAGAGATGGGTATTGTGCAAAAGGACACATGGAATACAGAGGAGGAAAAGAATCAGGAAAGAGGGTCACAAAGAGGGAACAGGAGAGAGACGGGTAGGAGATGGAGAACCATAAAAAAATACTTAGCTTAAAAAACTGTCGTGGCCGGGCGGTGGTGGCGCACGCCTTTAATCCCAGCACTCGGGAGGCAGAGCCAGGCGGATCTCTGTGAGTTCGAGGCCAGCCTGGGCTACCAAGTGAGTTCCAGGAAAGGCGCAAAGCTACACAGAGAAACCCTGTCTCGAAAAACCAAAAAAAAAAAAAAAACTGTCGTAATGTTACCTGTGAGGTTTTGAATTAGAATGGCCTTCACAGGCTCTTGTGTTTGAATGTTTGGTCCCCAGGCAGTGGAAATGTTTAGGATGGATTAGGAGTGTGGCCTTGTTGAAGGAGGTGTGTGTCATTGGGAGTGGGCTTTGAGGTTTCAAATGCCCACATCAGGCCCAGTGTGTGTGCGTGTGCGTGTGCGTGTGCGTGTGCGTGTGCGTGTGCGTGTGTGTGTGTGTGTGTGTGTGTGTGTGTGTGTAGAGGATACAAAGCTCTCAGCTACCGCTCTGGTGCCATGCTTGTCTGTTTCCGGTCATGATGACCACGACTAACCTCTGAAATGGTAAGTGAACCACCTAGTAAATGCTTTCATTTTTAAGAGTTGCCTTGATCATGTTGTCTCTTCACAGCAGTAGAACTCCAACGAAGACAGCATCTAACATATTATATTCTGATTTTAAGTAAATAAAAGAGCTTAGGTTCCCAGGTGGCTGGGAACTGGCTCAGTTGTAAAGTGCTATAGCAAGCAGAAGGACGGACTCGGGTGGGCTCCCAGAACCCACACTAAAAGCTGAGCACACACTGCTAGAGGGCTCAGTGGGTAAAGAGGTGCTTGCCCCCAAGCCCAGGGACCTTGGTTCAATCCCCAGGACCCACATGGTGGAAGGCGGGAGCCATCTCTGCAGGCCTGACCTCCACACATGCACTGTGGCACACACGTGCACACACAAGTTTGTACGTATTAGAGCAAGTGTGAAGACACATGCTTGTAACCCAGTACTGGAAAGGCATAGACAGGCAGATCCCTGGTGCTCACTGGCCGGCTAGCCTCCTCGCCTAATCAGTGAGCTCCAAGTCAATGAGAAGCAGTTTCTCAAAAACCGGGGTGAGAGTTAGAGAACTGGCTCAGCAGTGAGTGCTTACTCCTCTGGCAGAGGGCCTGACGTTGGTTCCCAGCATCCACTTCTCCAGACCCAGGAAATTCAACCACCTCTGGCCTCTGCAGGCAACTGCACACACATGGTGCGTATAAACTTACACAGCATACACACACATACATGAAAAAAAAAAAAAAACAAATTGGAAGGCTCTTTGGCCTCCATATAAGTGTGCATGCACATGTACCAACACACATATACACACACAAACTCACACACACATGCGCTCTCCCGGGATATCTCATAGACCCCCAATGTTTTCCAGAAGGTCCTGGACCCAGAAACGAGGCTATTCCAGTCTCCTGGAGAGTCTGTCCTCCTCCTCCCTACAGACCATCTTCCTGCTTCTCCAGGTCACTTGGAGGAAGACGGGGTCCCAGTTGTCAGGAGTGTCCTCATTACAGGTCAGGGGCCATCAACATAATTGGTCTTCCTTTGGTCCAGTTCTACATTCTCAGGAGAGTCTGGCTGGAGACAGAACCAAGCGGAATCCACATATCTCAGAGCACAGGTCTCAGACAAAGGTGACCACTGAACTTTGAAGATTCATGTTCAAGCTGGTCAACATGGCACTCACCATGCAGTGCCATCCCACAGGGTGTTGAGGCAAGAACACTGCATGTCCAAGGGCAGCCCGAGTTACATAGTAACACTGCGTGTCCAAGGGCAGCCCGAGTTACACAGTAACACTGCGTGTCCAAGGGCAGCCTGACTTACACAGTAACACTGCGTGTCCAAGGGCAGCCCGAGTTACACAGTAAACTCCTGCCTCAGAGAGAAGAGAGGAGACTCCAGCATTAGCCCAGCCGGAACAGACCTAGGTTACCACATGGTCAGCCTGCACTGTGGGAGAGAAACATCTACGGGCATGGACAGTTGTCCCGTTGCGAGGCACCTTCCAGCTCCGGCAGGATCTTCCAGCTCTTGGCAGCCATGAGAAGATGGGGTCCCTTTAAGCACCGGTGACACAGGACAGAGATGGAAGCTGGAGGAAGCTCAAGTTACATGGATGACTCTAGGAGAGAGGCATGACCCATACAAGGTCACAGATGATTCTCTGCTTGGGGAGGCTGAGGTCTGCCTTCCTCTCCCATCCTGGCACTCTGCTCGCTGACAGATGAGCTGGCCCAGCCAGAAGGATTCTGTGTGACAACAAAGAGCTAAGAATGTTTGTCAGAGGCCACCGAGGATCGCTGGAGGCAAACTAACACTATGTGTCTCAGCTGAGATGTGGGAGCAGATTTCCCACTCCGGAGAGGAGGGAACTGAGGAGGACGCACGGCTCTCTGTGAGTGTTGATCTCAGAATGAGCTCTGCCTTTCCCCTGCAAGCCATGAGGCTACGAGGGCGACCCAGGTTCAGAGGAGAGGGGCTCAGATTCTTAGGAGGGGGACCAAGGTTCACAGAAAAAGGGACTCAAATTTACAGGAGGGGAACCGAAATTTGCAGAAGGGAGAACTAGATTCATGGGAGAAGGGACCCAGATTTGCACCATAGAGGACCCAGGTGCACATAAAATGGAACATGTATACACATGTGTACACACACACACACACACACACACACACACACACACACACACAGAGTGTAGAAGTCTTAGGACTCTTGAAAGCTCTGAGAAGATACACTCCACTTAGAACAGAAAACTTACCCTTCTGCTCTGAACCCCAAATCACACAGTGCGGGAAACTGAGCACACTCAGAAGCCAGCGGCAGACTGGAACCCCTGGGTGGAGTGATGATGACAGTCATCTCAGAGCTGTCTGGAGAACTGACCTGCTAGCCCCCTCCTCTGATGCTCATGGACCCTGAGGCTCACCCTGTGGTCTACACAACCCACCATGTTTGGGGGCGTGTCTTGGTTGGTGAGAAGCAGGTTGGCACTGGGTGTTGTTTGGCGGAGACAAAGGACACAGGTCACCCCAGGTTGCCTGCGGGTCAGTCTCTTGCCCTTACTTCCTACAGCCTTCTTCTTGGAAGCAGCCCAACCTCACCCGAACAATGTCATGAATATTCCCTCCTTGATGAACTTCAAGTCTTTTAATGACTCTTCATAAAGGAACAGTGGGGCCAAAAGTTGAGCAAAGGAGATGATTAAAGTACCTTATTAAAAGCAGCCTTGTAGAATTCTCCACATGAAAGCAAGCACCATTATGAGGCCTTATCCTTATAAATGACGCTCCGCTTTCTCGAACATGCCGAAACCTGATTAGAGTGACAGGCGCTGACTGATACTGCAAACCTGTTAATAACATGAAAATTAGAAGAGGCTCATGCAAAGAAGGGAGATTAATTTAGCCGGAGTACATCTCGCGCAAATTGCAAAGTTGTGAATATGTTCTCAGATAATGAGCCTTCGCAGTCATCAGCTCGCTTGTCAGCTTCTGTAATTAATGTTAAGGAAGACGCCTTCCTGATGGTTCGAATTACTCATATACCAAGAAAATTTCTTCAGAGAAATAATTTACATTTATTATCATCGGTCTGTTTGTGTGGTTTATTTCGTGCCCGCGTAATTTATTGCAGGACCGTTCGCCTTGCCTTGATTAGTCGCTCGTCAGGACGGGATGCAATTTTTTTTTTTTCTTGATGGCGACATCTAACACTTGACAGTGGTGGAACACTCCTTGTCTCTGAATTTTTCCCCCCACTTAAATAAACTTTGGGGCTGAATTCCCCTAGGGTTGTCTCTCCAGTTAAGATGAGGTATTGGCGTAACTGTTGGCCGGCATGCCTCCAGAGACAATAGGGATTTCCTGTTGAGCACCTGGGAAGGTTCTAGGTCACCTATCCCACCGCTAGGGCTGAGGCTGTGGTGTAAGAGTTGGTTCCACCCTCTTTGAACCCACCACTGCTGGATGGAGTGTTTGCTGTCTGTCTCCTCACCTCTCCACGAGTTCTCTCCTCCCTCAGGCCATCTGCTAGGAGAAACCTCACATCTGCTTATTTCTCCATCCCTAGGCATATATTCCACTCCTAGGATGCAGACACACCCTCTCCATCTTCACACTCTGTCCCTGACAGCACAGTGCTCCGGGCCAGGTGTCCACTGCGTTCATGTCCCCATCACCCACACTATGGATCCCTCTCAGGTCCTACCAAGGGCTATAATGCCCAGGAGGGAGGGCTGCCATGGCAGAACAAAACTAAAACAGATCTGTCCATCTCAACATAACACCTTGAGCTACGCTTGGCCCTGGGCCCACGTGGTCTGTCTTCTGACGACCTCAAGGAGCACTCTAAATCAGCCCTCCCCGTCTCCCCTGTCTGTCTTACGTGGAACTCAAAAAAAAAAAAGAAAGTCCTCCTGGGTGCGTGTGGTGCACCACCCAGCGTATCCCAAGAACATTCACCATCATTGATAATGGGTACTCCTGGAGACTGCTCTGTCTATGAAGGACCTATGCCTCAGGGAGGTCTAGTAACTCAGGAAACACCACCGTCTCTGCTCTGGAGAGTAATCATGGCTGTGGGCTTCAGTGACAGGCCATGAGTTTAAACATGAGCAGAGCCGTCTCCTGGGAGACAGGTGTGAGTATAATACCCACATATAGGTGACTAAGTTGAGACTCGGAGAGTTTAACACACTTGCCTCTCTGTCCCATAGCCAGGACGCCCCACAGGTGAGTCTGACCCCTTCAAGCCCCATGCCTGCCTCCACCACTGCTCCAGTGTCTCTCCAGAAACTCGGTCCCCGCCTGCTGTCCTTCCTTTTCTCTAGTGCCCTGTGTCCTGTTTCCCTCCCGAGGGCTGAACTTGAAAAACACCCTCCCATTCTCCCCAGCAAGGGCGTCCAGGCTGCGAAAGGCACAAACAGCTGTAGCTGGTGTGAGCCACTGACCCTTGCTCTGCAAATGAGTCAGACGACACAGATCAGGATTCACAGGCAGAGATAATGATCTGTTTTATTGGACGTCTTTCCCCTGCTCCAACCGGTGGTGTGGCGCTGGGTCGACCCGCAGTGCACTGCTGGTGTCAGCTAATGATAATCTATATTTATAAAACGATAGTCCGTCAAAGGGGGATGAATATTTTAGAAGCCACGGACAAATCAAATTGTCTTTGTCAAATGGGCTTGTGCTCCCGCGCCCAGCGTGTTTTATGGCTCTTTCTGGGGTGAGAAACTCAGGGTTCCCTGAGCTGGCTGAGGGCTGCCTTTCTCATTGAGATGGTGAGTGAGAGCTGAGACTCGCTCTTTCAAAGAAGAAGCCAGTGAGCTATGGAGATTGACATGAGTGAAGCAGCACTGTGCTCTGTTTGAGGAACTTAACAAACACCCCTGGAAACCACAGATGTGCTGGTGTCTTTGTGGGCAAGAGTCCATCTATACTTGCTTAAATAAAGTTGTGCCTTTGCAAGTCCGGTTTAGAAGGACCTGGGCTGGGCGACACACACCTGTAATCCTGGCATTCAGGAGGTAGAGGCAGGAGGATCAGGAGTTCAAAGCTAGCCTCAGCCGCATAGGTTTATGGCCAGCCTAGGTTACATGAGAACTTATCTCAAAAGAACAGAAAACCAAAGAGGAGAACAGGGAAAAGGCTGAGTGGGGACAGCACGGACAAGGACAGGGCCTGCGCCGAATCTCCCGAACTCACATTGGAGCGGGGAGAAGCTGGTGTGGCAGTGTGTGCCGATCACTCCAGTCCTGAGGTAAAGACAGGTGAATCCTGGGGGCTTTCTCAGCCAGCCAGTCTCTAAGTCAGAGAGCTCCAAGTTCAGTGAGAGACCCTGCCTCAAAAAGAAACAAAATAAGATGAATAATAAATACAATAAAAGAATAAATAATTTATTTATATAAATAATAAAATAAAGGTGAAAAGTGAATGAGGAAAACATCCTGATATTAATCTCTGGTCTTCATGCACATCCATACAGATGAGTGCACCCATACACATGTGCACACACGTATTCACACACACACATACACACACACACACATGTTCACACATGTATTCCCACATACACACCATGAGAAAAAAAAAGCAAAAAAGGGCCTAGTCAATAGTGGTTTCTACAAAAGCATGAGGACCGCAGTACCCACATCGAAGCCAAAACCAGGTGAGGGCATGCTTGTCATCCACCAGCTCTAGATGGGTATCAATGGGAGGGTGCCCAGAGCCCACTGGCCAGCCAGCCTAGCCACGAAATGATCCCAGGTTCCTAAAAAAAATAAAGTGGAGAGTGGTAAAGATATCATCATCTACCTCTGGCCTACACAGACAGGGAAGGGAGGGAGGGAGGGAGGGGGAGGAAGGGAAGGAGGACAGAGGAGGCAGGGAGGGAGGACGGGGGTGGGGGAGGGACAGGAGGAAAGAAGGAAGGCAGACATGTGCCCTACACAAACCAGCTGCATGAACTCCAGGAAGCCACGTCACTAAGCCTTGGTTTCTCCATCTGTCCATAAAGAGAATGATAGTTTCTTTTTTTATTTTATAATTTAATTTAATTTTACATATCAGCCACCAATTCCCCTGTCCTCCCTTCTCCCGCAGCCCCCCCCCCCCCCGCCCTCTCCCCAGCCCATTCCCCATTCCCATCTCCTCCAGGGCAAGGACTCCCCTGGGGATTCAGCTCAGCCTGGTAGATTCAGTCCAGGCCGGTCCAGTCCCCTCCTCCCTTCACCCAGGCTGAGCAAAGTGTCCCAGCAAAGGCCCCAGGTTCCAAAAAGCCAACTCATGTACTAAGGACAGGTCCAGGTCCTTAGAACATGTTTGGGGCCTCCCAAACAGTTCAAGCTAATCAACTGTCTCACTTATCCAGAGGGCCTGCTCCAGTTCCATGGAGGCTCCTCAGCTATTGATTCATAGTTCATGTGTTTCCACTAGTTTGGCTATTTGTCCCTGTGCTTTTTCCAATCATGGTCTCAACAATTCTTGTTCATACAACCCCTCCTCTTTCTTGCCCACTGGACTCCCGAAGCTCCACCTGGGGCCTGGCCATGGATCTCTGCATCCGCTTTCATCAGTCATTGGATGAGAGTTCTACCACGACAGTTGGGGTGTTCAGCCATCCAATCACCAGAGTAGGTCAGTTTAGGCTTTCTCTCGACCATTGCCAGTAGTCTATTGTGGAGGTATCTTCATGGGCCATTCTGAGGGTAAGGTGGAGCAAACATAAATGTCCTCGTTGCTTTTAACTGTCCACTTGACACAGCCTAGAGTCATTTGGGAAGGGAGCCTCAGCTGAGGGACCGCCCAGATCAGAGTGGCCTGTGGGTGTGTCTGTGGGGGACTGTTCTGATTGTTAGTTGATGTAGAGGACCCAGCCCACAGTGGGAGGCACTGTTCCCTGGGCAGGTGATCCTGGACTGTAAAGAATGCTAGCTAAGCATTAGCCTGTGAGCCAGCCAGCAAGCAGCATCCCTCTCTAGGTTCAGGTGTGTTTCCTTAGCTGTGTGCAGATTCCCCAGTTAGAAGAGCAGAAAGGCCTGCCTCCCAGTTCCTGCCCCGACATGCCTTAGTGGTAGATGATGACCTGGAAGTGTAAGCCAAGTGAATCCTGTCTTCCCCTGGGTTGCTTCTGGTCAGAGTGTTTTATCACAGCCACAGAAAGGAGACCAGAACAGTGAAAGTCAGCTGCCTTCCTCTAGAGCAGTGGTTCTCAACCTCCCTAATGCTGGGACCCTTTAATACAATTCCTCTTGCTGTGTGACCCCCAACCGCAGATGTTGCTACTTTGTAGCTGTAATTTTGCTGCTGTTATGAATTGTAATAAAAATATCTGATATGCAGGATGTTTGATCTGTGACCCCTGTGAAAGGGTCGTTCAACCCCTTGCAGGGGTCGCAGCCCACAGGTTGGGAACCACTGCTCTGGACCCATCTGGCAGACTCCAGACGCCATCCTGCCTGCATCTGAGCTTCAGCGTCCACTAGCTCAAGATGACATCCACAAAAGGAGTTTCCCTGAAGGGTTTCCTTGTGTTGGGCCCTGTGCTAAGCATTTCACATGAAATGTTTCTTGTTCTCATCAGGTCTCCCAAAGAGAAAAAGGATGTAAGCCACACAGTCTTTAAAAAGAGGAAGTTCGTGGTACCCAGGAGATGGCTCCATCAGCGAGTCCTTGACGCACAGGTATGATGGCCCGAGTTCAAATTAAATTACACTTGAATTACAGGTGTGTGCCACAGTGCCTGAGTTTTTCTGTGGGTGCTGAGAATCCAAGCTCAGGTAGAGACAGAAAGAGTTCTGGGCTTGATGGTCAGCCACTCCCACCAAGTCAGTGAGCCCACATTCACTGAGAGACCCCATTTTAAAAAATAAGTTATAAAACAATTGGGGAAAATACCTGATGTTAACCCCTGGCCTGGCCTGCATTCACTCGAGTGCAATCATGCTTACACACACACACACACACACACACACACACACACACACATGCACATTCACACAGGTAAGTAAAATTACATTTAATAGTCCAATCATCCTTTGCTGTCTGTGGGGTGTTATTAGCTTCAGGATCCTCTGAGGACACCTAAAACCATAGATGTTCAGCCCCATGCCCCTTCATTAGTTAAAATCTCCACTTATGTCATTTTAATGTTTACAAAACTCAATGCAAGGCCATTATACTGATAGTTGGAAAGGGGTGGGGGTGGGTAGACAAAGTGTTTTCGGAGCCTTCCCTTCAAAGCAGGCTTGGGCCGCTCTGCTGTCTCCCAGCTCCATGTTCTCTGCTGGCCTGAGGCGCACCCTGGGTGGCTGTCACTCTGTCCGAGGTCTTGGCCTCAAAGAAGAGTTTGTCAGCATCATTCTTGCTTTTAAAGACTCTCTGTAAAGGAAAACTTCCCGGAGCTGAGACGAGGCAACCAAGTGTGAGGTGTAGGCAGCTGACCTACTTGAGGAGTCTGCCCTAGGAGGTGACCCACAGTGAGCAGCGTCGTGGTCGTATCTCAGCAGGTTCACCAACACTTGTTAACTGGGCAGTTGTTTATAGGCATGCCCCCTGCTCCCTTCCCCAAGTGACGTGCACAGTTCAACCACTTTGCCTATGTCTCTGGATTCTGAGGACAGTTCTTTGGGAACACAGTCAGTCTCCACATGGTCAAACCCCTTACGTAAAGCAGTGTGATGGACGATGTGTAGATGGATCAGTGGTTAAGAGTGCTTACTGCTTTTGCAGAGGATCCAAGTTTGGTCCCCATGCCCAACAGGTCACAACCACTTGCAACTCCAGCTCCAGGGATTCCAATGGCTTCTTCAGGCACCTGCACTCACAGCACATACACACACACATGGACAGAAACACACTCTCACAGACACACAAGACTCTAGGTCACCCAACCGGTTAGTTGCTGACTCAGGAAGCTGGGTGACTGTCAGCAAAAAAACACATTCTTTTTAACTACAGTCTTCTAAAAGCCTTCTGCCTCTGTTGAGACCCCAGACACTCTCCAGATGACCGCTGACCTTTTCTGGATAGTACAACTGAAGCCTCAAGAGCCTAGCAGTGTGATATGTATGCCTGTCAATCATCTGTTGCTATGAGCGAACCACTCCACGTGTACTAGCTTAAAAAACCAGCTCTTACATCCTCCATGATCCAGTGGGTTAGGAACTGGGGACAGGGCTCAGAGTTATGGCCTGTTTGGGCTTGAATCTGAAATGTCACCTTTAGGCTCATGTTCAAATGCTCAGTCCCATTTGTGGCACTATTTTAAAGAGCTTGGAGATTGTCAGGAGTGGAGCTCAGCTGGCAAAAGTATGTCACTAGGGTGGGCCTTCGACAGTTATAGCCACCTTGGGTTCCAGTCTGTCTTTCTCTGCTTCTTGGTGTAACATGACACAGGGAGACTTGTCATGCCCCTGCTACCATGAGTTGAGATGCTCCCCCATGCCTTGCCCCTCCCAACTCCATCATGAGGGACTGAACCCCTGAGACAGAAGTCAAAAGCCTCCCCCCCTTCAGCTGTCTTTGGCAAAGGTCTTGTCACAGCAGAGAGGAGAGAAGCCAGCACAAGGCACATTCCTGCTCACACACTGTTTGCCTGGGTGGATCCAGCCATAGCGGATGGGTGCTGGCTGGGTGAGACAGCTGGGGCTTGCTTTCAGGACACTTGGCCTGTCTCTGCACAAAGGATTTCTCTAGTAGGATGGTCTGGGTCCTCTCTGAGCCAGCAAGGAAGCTTACATAGATGTCTTAGTTTGCTTTCTGTTGCTGTGATTAAACACCATGACCAAAAGCAATTTGGGGAGGAAAAGGTTTATTTGGCTTACATGTCCCAACCACAGTCCATTGTCTAAGGAAGTCAACAGGAACCTGGAAGTAGAAACTCAAATAGAGACCACAGAGGAACACTGCTTCCTGGCTTACTCTCCATGGCTTGCTCAACCTGCTTTCTTATACAGCCCAGTATCACCTGCTCAAGGGTGGCACCACCCATAGTGGGCTGGACCCTCCCACATCACTCATTAGTCAAGATAATACCCCTAGACATGCCCACAGGCCAATCTGTTGGAGGCATTTTCTCAGTTGAGGTTCTCTCTTCCCAAATGACTCTGACTTGTTTCAAGTAAACAAAAACTAAGCAGCACAGCTGACCTCCTGTCAACTTGATACAGAAATATATTGCCATTAAACCATAACCTTTCCTTTTTTGCTTAGCCCCAAGATCTCATGTTGATATTGATATCACAATATAAAACATAGTTAACTTTAAAAGACTCGTGGTTTTGAAAATATTCCCACTCAATTCACAGACACAGACAGACAGACAGACAGACAGACACATACACACACACACACACCGAGAGGAACCCAGGCTCTCTGTTCCATGGAACAGGATGTGGTTATTTATGAGTATGATTGTTGGTCTTTTTATTTCCTGTGACACCAGTGCACGTTGCTCACCCTCTCTGATGCTTCCCAGTCTGAACATTTGGTGGTAGGAAGGACCACATGCAGAGCCATGGACCTCGTAAACAGTTAAGTGTTCAGTACATGGTAGCTATCGTCCCATGAGGAACGCCTCGCCAAACTTCAAACTGCACAGAAACCTAAGAGTTAAGAGACAGGGTTACAGCATGGCCATGTGCACTTGGAGCACATCTGGAGTCCGTGAAGAAAATGATGACTGAAGGTGCCTGGAAAGGAACATAGCTTTCCTTGGCAGGCAGAGGGAGAAACCCAGGGTTCTTACATGAGGTGAGGGATGAGGGACCATGGCTATTGACTTCACTAGAATTTTAGTTTTTCTTTTTTTATACATATTTTTAACTCAAGTTGATTTCACAAAATTTCAAATTTCAGTGTTAACAATGATAAATGTTACTGTGGGGCTGGAGCGATGACCCAGTCTGTAGAGTGCTCACCATGCAAGCATGAGAACCTGAGTTCGGATCCCCAGAGTCTGCTGAGAAGCCAGGCTAGTTGGTACACCTGTAACTCCTGCCCTGG